GGACTCTCCTTGCGAAATGGCTCTTGGATATAGTTGGCTCAACCGCTTTAATCCGTTGATTAACTGGTCTGAAGCCACCGTCTCTTTCCGTTCCAACACGTCTAGGGAGTCTTTGTCGACAAAACTGGCTACTATCACGCCTGCTCCTGTTGCGATCAGCTCATCTACGAGCGAGGACATTCCAGAATCGGAATCGATTCCGCCCTCTCCGGTTGCTCCTATATCGCCCCCTTCGCCAACAAATCTTGGTCCTGTATTGGACGATCCGTCTCCGGTTGACCCTCCGTCTCCGGCCATTACTCTCACGCGCAAGACTCCTCTTGTCGCGCCCCAAATCTCCCTTGTTTCTGCTGCGGCTTATCGCTGTGTTATTGCGGATAAAGATACGTATCAGTACACTCTTCGTGCAGTCCCTTCTGACAAAGCCTTTGCTCGAGCAGCTCAAGCCGAGCCTGAGGTTAATCGTCTCCCACCCGAGTATCAAGACTATGCCGATGTGTTCTTGGAAACGGAAGCCCGCAACCTTCCGCCCCATCGCGAGTTTGATCTCAAGATCGAGACCGTTGATGGTGAAGAACCACCCATTGGACACGTCTATTCTCTGTCTCAGAACGAGCTGGAAGCTCTCCGCAAGTTCATCGACGAGAATCTCCGCTCCAGGTTCATTTATCCTTCGCGCTCTAGTCATGGCGCGCCTATTCTCTTCGCTAAGAAGAAAGAGGGCAGCCTTTGCCTTTGTGTTGACTATCGCGGACTCAATCGCATCACGAAGAAGGACCGCTACCCGCTTCTGCTGATCTCGGACCTGCTTGACGCACCGGGAAAGGCACGTATCTATACAAAACTCGAGCTGCGCCATGCCTATCATCTTCTCCGCATCACACCCGGAGACGAACCAGAAACGGCATTCCGCACTCGCTATGGCTCTTACGAGTTCAGGGTTGTACCTGAAGGTCTTACCAATGCTCCTGCTGCGTTTCAAAGATTTCTCAATAGTCTTTTCGCCGACTTACTGGATGTTACAGTTATCGTCTATCTTGACGACATCCTAGTCTATTCAGACAACAAGTCAAAGCATGTTGAGCATATCTGGGCTACATCCTCTCCCCCTGACGGCTTTTGCATGTCTCCGGAGAAGGTCTCTGCAATCACGGACTGGCCTACGCCTAGGAGAGTTAAGGATATTCAATCCTTCCTCGGGTTCTGTAACTTCTATCGACGTTTTATCTTCAACTACTCCGACATCACGATTCCGCTCACTCGTCTCACTCGTGCCAACGTCCGCTGGAACTGGTCCACTGAGTGTCAAGAGGCTTTCGACTACCTCAAGAAAGCCTTTGTCGAGGCTCCGATCCTTCACTACTGGGTACCAGACCACTAAATCACCCTAGAAACGGACGCCTCCGACTATGCTATCGCCGCTATCCTTTCCGTCTCCGGCGATGATGGTGAAATCCATCCTGTGGCTTTCCGGAGTCGCTCTCTGGGGCCATCAGAGCTCAACTATGACACACACAATAAGGAATTGCTCGCTATCTTCGATGCGTTTACTCACTGGCGTCTGATTCTGGTCGATGTGGTCACTGATCACAAGAACCTTGAGTATTTCTCTACTACCAAGGTTCTAACTCGGCGCCAGGTCCGCTGGTCCGAGTATCTTTGTCGTTTCAACATGACAATCCGATTCCGCCCAGGTAACCTTGGGGGTAAGCCTGATGCGTTAACTAGACGATGGGACGTCTACCCAAAAGAGGGGGATAAGTCCTATGGAAAATTGAATCCGCAAAATTTTCGCCCTATTGTCACGTCTGAACAACTCAACGCCTCTCTCCGCACTACCTTCCTTGAAGAACCTGTGCTTCGTGCCTCCGTCATTCTGGATGTCAAGAAACTTCACGACGACATCCGCGCTCATATCAATGACGATCCCGCTGCCGTCTCCGGCCTTGCTGCCGCGAAATCTGGCAATTCCTCGCGCTGGAAACTTGATGACACTGGTCTCTTACGCTATGATGATCGAATCTGGGTACCACTTGTCTCCGGTACGTCTCCGGAGTTGTGACTTACTGTACTCCGACACCATCACGACCATATCCTCTCTGGTCACTTTGGCCAAAATCGTACTCTCGCTCTTGTCCGACGCGAATACACTTGGCCAGAACTCAGAACCTTCGTCAAGGACTACTGTGCATCTTGTATTACATGCAAGCGCAACAAGAAGCCAAGGCATCAACCTTATGGTCTGCTAAAGCCTCTCCCCGTTCCTCTCCGTCCTTGGGATTATATCTCTATGGACTTCATTGAGCAGCTCCCCACATCCGGTGAATTCGATACCATTCTAGTCATCGTTGATCGTGCCTCAAAACAGGTCATTTTGATTCCGTGCGACACTCATATTTCGTCTCCGGAGCTCGCTCGACTTTTCCTCATTCACGTCTTCTCGAAACATGGAGTCCCATCCCATGTCACTTCTGACCGCAGAAAGGAATTCGTGTCCTCTTTCTTCCGTTCCCTTGGAGAACTACTCAACATGGAACTCCACTACACTTCGGGTTATCATCCTTCTGCTGATGGGCAAACAGAGCGCATGAACCAAACTGTTGAGCAATATATTCGCATCTATTGTTCTTACCAACAGGATGATTGGCACGAGTTACTGCCGATCGCAGAGTTCGCACTCAATAATGCTCCTAACGCTTCTACTGGCATATCACCCTTCTTCGCGAACAAAGGCTACGATCCCTCTATTATGATTCATCCAGAGTGTGATGTGGCTAATGTTTATGCTAAGGACTATGTCGTCAATCTCCAGGAGCTGCACGAGTTCCTCAAGGAACAGATCAAGTACGCTCAGGAGCAATACAAAGAGACTGCGGACCGGAAACACATTCCGGATCCGTCTCCGTCTATAGGTGACGAAGTCTTTATCTTGACCACCTGTGTAGCCTAATACCCACTGTGTACTATCTAGTCCACCCCAGCGGGGTGTCGCAGATAAGCCATGCTGCTCTCAGCATTGCCATAGAACTGAATCAACCTTGGAAAGGGAACTGAATAAATCTGAGCAGTTCTTAGGTTTTCACCATTTCTCGCACCAAGTCCACATGACTGGCTATTATCACCTCACTCATAGTATGAATAATGTTGAATAGACTGGGTATTTCCTAGTAGCATTGTATATAGTTTAGCTTATTAGTATATGTATAGCTATCACATAAGTGTATTCTGATATGAATAATAATGAATAGTAATGAATAATTCAAACCCTCTAGAGACTTGGGTTGAACTCAGCACCTGGGTTACATGTGTGTCATGATGTGTGACAAATTTCCCCAAAAGGAAATTTTCACTATCTGGCTGTACAATCATCAGAGAATGTCACAGATCGTCACAAAATCAAAGTTGTGTATTTTGGCTATACAAACAACTTTCATTAAGTGACCTATAGTCGCAACTGAATAATTGTATTACTAGAATTGGCCAATTATTAGCTGATCTACACCTGAGTAATATATCAGCAAGTGGATAACTTATATAGGTGATTAAAGTACTACCAAGGGTACCTAAATGATAAGATCAATATCCAGGACAATAAAATGTTATTTGCATAGCTATATTATGCTATGATGATTCATCACCTACATTGACACTGCAATATCTCCTCCAATCCTGCATCAAGTGAGTTGATTTTTGTACTGGTAATACACGTAGAAAATGAGCAGTCAAGGAGATCTCTAGGACCTTCAACTTAACCAATCAATTCCTAATTTTGTGTGGTGTGTTCGGGGTTCGAGCCGCAGGAAACGACTAACAAATCCAGATACTCCTTATTGATCTCAGTTGAATTTGGGATGTTGTGTTAACTGTGTTTGACTGTTTTCACTTTGATGAACAGAAGAGCAGTGTTGAAGAGATATGAGATTTGAGAGGAGCAGTATGGCTCAACTCTCTCTTAACCTTAACCTTAACCTTGACTTGAACCTTAACCTTGAACCTTAACCTTGAATCTTAACCTTAACCTTGTCCTTGAATCCTTGTCCTTAAATCTGACGTTGATATCTAAACTTCAACAAATCAACTGATGTGACAATGGTGACTGTCACAATCAATCGGTCTGCTGGGGATCTGATCCCTAGTTTTGATTGCCTCATATGGAAATTACAGGCCTCCTTATATACTACTTTCTACCTGATTATGTAATATGTGATGATGTGACATGATCCGCTGATCAACTTCTAGAATATTCTAGTCCTGGCTTCTGGAATGTTCTAATATAGGCCTTGGTTCGGAGTTGCCAAATATGGACATGTTACCACTGGTTCGGTGCAGGACCTAGACCAGTTCTATGTCTAGAATAGTCCAGAACTGTGTAGACTTGTGTTTTGGTTCACTTTCTCAATAGATGTAAAGGTTGTAGCAATTCTGCTGGTAATTATATGTATATGGCATAGTTGTTGTGCTTTAAATGAATTTATAGGGCCCCTTCCAGGTATTTCACAAGTGGTCATGTTGACCGCTCATTATCTCCCCTTTTCATTAATATTGACCGTCCTCGGTCATCTAGCACACAATATTTTGACTACATTTTTCATCACTTCCAGCTACATTTTTCACTGGGTATTTGGTTTAAGCCATATACATATGTAACACCAGACCTTCACTTTAAAATAGTGTTGCTGTCCCTTTCTGAGCTCCAGTCCCATCTAGACTCTTTGTCCTATTGAGATTTACCAGGGTCTATTTTGGTAATCTGCCATGTGTTTGGTCTTTTATTTTCTCTGTATGTTCCCATAATGTTCTGAACATCTATCCATAATTTTGTCTTGAATTTTCAGCTTATTTTCCGATTTAAGTTGAACTTTCAGCTGTTTATCCGGGCTTAATCTGTCCGGTCGTTTATCAGACCCGGTCCGATCTAATCTCGGCGGCGATCTGCATTGCCGATTCCCCGGTCCGAGGGCTTCTGACAGTTTTCCGATCACCAGGCTGTGCTCCGTGCTTCTCTGTTCTTGACCACCACCTCGCGCCTTCGAGGTCCCCATTTCTTGCATCTGCGGGCCTCGTGTGCTCGTCGGGGGGCGCTTCCGCTGGCGTCCTCGGTCTTCTGGTTGCCTGCTGGTCTGTATTTCCGCGGCTGGCCGGCTCTAGTCGGGCGACGCGTCATCGCTCGACGCGCGCGCTCCTGCGCGTTCTTCAACGTTCTGTCGGCGCTTTCTTGGCCTAGCGAGCCTCAAATCACGCTGGGGTTGCTGGATGATGGGGTAGAAGGACTTGGGGAGGGCGGAGCAGCGAGTCTCGATGGTTTGGTGGTCGTTTGGAGACCAGGTCAAGGTGTGTTTCCTACCGGTTGGGACCCTGTCCTACGAGCCTCGTGTTGCTCGCTCACCGCTTCGATAGATCTTCCTCTGTTTCCCTGGCCTCTGCGGGCCTTCATTCTCCCGACGCTTCTTGCGGTCGGCGCGCTTCTCGACGCCAACGTGTTGCTCGGTGACGCGCGCGCTTTGCCGCGGTTTCCGACTTCCTGCGGCCGACAATCTCCTCAAAACCAACGTTTGGTCGATGACGCGCGCGCTTTGTCGCGGTTTTCTACCTCCGCACTGGCTGTTCCTCCCGATTCGACCGTGCAATGTTTGGGGCGGCTGGGAGTTTGAAAAGGGGGGGGCAGGAGCTCGGTGGCGGGATACACGTGGCTTGCACCATCTCGGTGAGCCCTGGCGGTTCGAAAATACTTCCCCATCCCCATCCTTCCTCTTCCTCTCGGATGCTAGCCGTTTTCGGCGGTATTCGTTCGCTTCCACCTTCTCGTTCGAGCAGCGCCAAAACCCAGCCAACTGCTGCATGCTAGCCGTTTTACAGCAGCAGTAGCAGTTGCGTGTCGTTGCCCGGCTCCCGATATGCGTGCTTGTTGCCGCGCACCGCAGACGGCGGTCGGGTTGGCACGAGGCCATTATCGGCGTCCTCGTTCGTGCCTGGTCTGTACCCTACATCCGGATTAATGCTATCGTTCTTCTCTTCTCTCCGCCCGCTTCTCTCGTGCCTTGAGGCGCGAAAATTCCCTTCTTGGGGCGCGTGGTGATGTGTCAGCCTCGCGGTAGGTCTTCCCTCCCCTTTTTAGAACCTCCGAACTGTCCCCAGTTCCGTGGACAGTGACTCGGAAAATGACTTGGGCAAGTCCAGGGTCTTGGCTGGCCATATAAAAGCCAGGCCGTTTGCTGGGTAGTCCCATCGACTCGTCGACCTGCCCAGCTTACCTTCGCTCTCCAGTCTTCTCTCTCAGCCATTATGTCTTCCAACCTCAAAATCCAAGCTCTCTCCTCGCCTTCTGCGGAAGTGTGGAACCCTTCGACTCGCCGCATGCCTGTGGTCGTTCGTAAACGGCTTGTGGCCTCGTCGAAGTTCAACGCGGACCCGGTCTTCAAGGATACCGCGGCTCGTGATTCTCACTTCGACAGTGAGCGCTGGAAATGGGTTCGTGTTTTTCCCTTTCCCAGGTCTTCCTTGTTTTCTGAATAATCTTAGAACCAGCACTTCAGCTACGCCCATCACATCGCTGATGATCCCATGCTGTTGCAGGGCTTCCGCGATGTGTTTGTCAACAACATGGACTTCGTCTCGCACAACAATCCTGACGCGGACACCTTGGCGCTGCGCCGCCTCAATACCGAGATCAACATGCGACTCGACCAGCGCAACGCGGCTGGTGCGGCTGGCCGGTCTGGCCGTGTAGCCAAATCAGTTGCGGCTGCGTTGAACACTCAGTCTCGCCAAAATCAACATCCAAAGTATGGGAAGAGTACTCCCAACCGTCGTGGCCGTCCCCTGCAGGTTCGAATTCCTTCTATCATCTTTTTATGCCTTGCTGACTATTCTCCACAGATCGCCAAAGGTCCTGGACGTTCTCGCGCTCCTCGCGTGTTGAGCGAGGCCATTGTCATCAGTTCTGATGACGAGGACTCTGTTCATTCGCCTGCTTGTGCTGGGGCCTCGCCTCCACCTCCGCCTCCGCCTTCGAATTCCAGCTCCGTCCCCGATTCTGCCTCAAACCACGGTGAGGTTGTTGAGATGGAGGTGGACCAAGCAGCTGACACGGTATGTTTTTAGCCTTTATTGCCTTTCTTTTGACGATCTTCTCGTCACTCCTGATGGCGGTTCTTCACCGTTGCTGGCTATGGATTGACCTGTTGCAGGCCTCGGCTGCGCGCGCCAATTCGCCTTCGCCGTCCCATAGCGCTGGGACTTCTTCTGATGACGCATCGGACTCTGGTGCGTAGATTTATTCTAGTAACTTTGTTGATTGCTGATAATACCGTGCAGCTGCGGTGAGTGGTTCAATTGATGCTGAGGTCTCGGCGCTTATCGGGCGGCTTAGCCTGACACCCAGCCCCTTGGTATGTACTTTTTCTTGCTTCTAAACAGCTCATATTTATTGGTTTCTAGGTCCTGCCGCTGAGCGAACTGCAGCCGCACCCGGGGCAGCCCAACTCGGTGCTGTTCTCTCCGACACCGCTAGTGCGGCACTCTCGTTGGTCCGGCCGGCCGGCGCGGCCACTCCCGAGAGCATCATCACCAACGTCCTACGTTCTGTACAACCTGCGCCAGGTGTGTCACTTTTTCTATATGTTCTTATGCTTCACTGATAGTATTGCAGCGAGCCGCTCCCCAGGTCAAATTCAACTTGATATCGCAGAAATGCGGATCAAGCTTGAAGAAGTCGACCATGAGCTCGATCAACAGCTCATCAACCCTGGCGCCAACTGCCGTACCCCCCGCCAGAGCCTTCGCGATCAGCGGCAGTTCGTCCGGGCGCGGCTCGAGGCTGCCAAGACTGAACTTCGCGGTTGCACGCGGTGAGATCAGCCGAGCGCGCAAGCATGCTGATGAGACCCCCAACACCGTGTGTCTTTTCTTATTTGTTCCAATGTTGGTTTTTACTGATCCCTGGTGTGTTTAGAAGGCCAAGACCATGTGAATTCTGCGCTGATGTTCCCCACTCTAGAGGGGTTTGCTGCTGAACTCAAGAATAGTTCAAATAATGTACTATCATCCATGTCTGCCTTATCTACTTGTTTCTCTTTTTACGACCACTTTACGATTTCTTTTTGTGTTTGGGTTCATTCCATAGTATTCAGTTGAAGTAGGCAGTTTAGGTATCACAAGCATTTGTACTTTTCTGCTTTGCAATTTAGACAACTTCTGCTGTATTTCTGGACTATAATCGGTCCATTTGATCTGCTGATCCCATTGATCAAATTTGATTGATCTGGTGATCTGGTCTTGCCTGATTGATCATGGCTAAGTGTGCCTTTTGACTATAACTTGTCCTGCCTAGGTCTATGAATCTAACTCCAACTCAGACTCAGATTCTGTTGCTGACTCTTCATTGTCAGTAATAGGATGAATTGTTGAGTTGGGGAATTGCAAGTCTTTCCCTTGATATTTTTCGATTTCAGTATGATCTTCATCTTCCTCTATGAGTTGTTGGAGTCTTTCTTGAGACACATCAATCATTTCCTGAACTCTTTTTCCAATTGACAATTTCTGCCTCTGGGCATATGGAATGACTCTGAATCTGGCTACCTTGCCATGGAAGAGCGCACCATTGAGTTCTGATATGACATAGGAACCACCTTTGCTTCTGGCAATAATTACCATAGGTCCATTCCATCTATTTTTATTTCGGCTGCTGAGTGAACCCTCTGCTACCATGTCCCTGACTAAGACTAGGTCTCCTGGTTGAAACACATAGTCTTTAATGACATGTTTATATTTCTCAGCATAGTTTTCAACATCTTTCTGTTTCCATTGTGCAACTCTTTTCCTCATTTCCTGTATATGGTATGTATGTTTGGCCAATGCTTGTGCTCTGTAACCAACCAACTCTTCAGTGGTTAGCATCCTATCTGGATATTCAACTAGCCAAGTAGCTTCTTCTAGGTCAAGAGGCACTACTGGATGTGCTCCACACACAGCAAAGTAAGGTGAGCAACCAAGCCCTCTTCTGATTGTGATCCTGTCTGACCATAATACTTGGGGTAGGAACCAAAACCATTTCTTCAAGTCACCTCCAGTGGCTTTACTGATTGATTGCCTGATGTCCCAGTGGCCTCTCTCAACTATACCATTTGCTTGAGAGTTATATGCAGATATACGGATTCCAACAATTCCATACTTGGATTTGAGCCACTCAATGGCTGCTATAAAAGGAGTCCCATTATCTGATATCAACCAAGCTGGACAGCCCCAACGGCAGATTATCTCTTCAAGAAGAAAGCGACCAATTGATTCCGCATTTTGTTTACGTAATGCACGTCCTTCAAGATATCTTGATAGTGCACACCTTGCATCTACAATGTAAGAGCATCCATTTGACTTTTCACTCATGTGCATGACATCTGTATGTATTTTCTGGAACAGACTTGGAGTTGCAGTGATGACTGGTGGACTACGAATCAATGCCTGTTTACGGACTTGACATTCGTGACATGTTTTGATGTACCATTTCACATCACTTTCCATATCTGGCCACCAAAATCGTAATTCAATTAGCGATTTTGTAGCAAATACTCCTTTATGACCTAGTGAGTCATGTGCTGCTCGCATCATATACATTCGGTGTTGCTTTTCAACAACTAATTTATGCATTGAATTGTCTCCCCGCAGGTAAATCTTTCCGCTTATACTCCGGAAAAACCGTTTACTGAATTTCATAAATCTTTTATATTTCAGATTTTCTTTTTCACCAATTGAATTTGGTCTTTGTAATGGATTTTCTAACCATTTCTTGACCTGATCAATTTTCTGATCCTGCAGTTTGGAACCTTCATTTCTATGAGTTTCATCATATGGTTCTTGTTTTATCTCATTATTACGTAACTCCAAATCAGGCAATAGTTTGCTCTCTGATTTTGAGTATACATATGCAGGCATCTCCAATCCTTCTGATTGGTATACTGATTGAACATAATGCAATCTGATATTTTCCTGTTCTCTGGCCATGTCACATTCAGAGTTGAATGCAGTTATATCCTCAGCAGCTCCTTTTAGTGTTTGAACATAACCTCCACGTTCATCAATATCATCTTTGAAGTTCTCGAACTCTAGTGGCTGTTGGGAGAAATAATCCCAGTCAGGATGATCTTCTGGTGGTTTACTGTCTTCAATTTCCTCTTCATCTGGGAACCATTCTTCATCTCCTGGTTGTGATTCCCTTCTGGACAAACCATCTGGAGGGAAGTTGGCACCTCTGACATGTTTCAATTTGAAGTGGAACATTAATATTTGTTCAATCCAACGATTGATTGTAGCATTTGGCCCCATTCCTGGGTTGTTCAACATACCCTTAATATACAATGCATCAGTTTCCACAACCAGACGCCTACATCCTAGTAGCCAATACTGCATAGCTTCTAATGCTCTTTTCAGACCATAGAGCTCCCTCTTTGGTTGAGAGAATCTGGCTTCCCTTCTATTCAAGGTTATGGATGCAAATTTTGCATAATACTTTATTTTTGGATCTACTGGGTCTAACTGGTATATCTGTATGCCAATTGCCATCCATGATGTGTCCACAGCTAACACAATATCTGAGTCCCAGTTGTAATTTAGAGGTTTGAGACATGGTGCAATAGCTATTGCTTGTTTCAACCTATCCATGGCTTGTTGCTGTTCTAGACCCCATTCAAATGTTTCATCATTCCTTGTTAATTTTTGAATTGGTCTAGCCAGAGTGCCATAATCTTTTATGAACATTCTCATGACTCCAATTGTTCCTAGAAATTTCCGGACGTCTGATACATCTTTAAGTGGTCCCCATCTCAGGATAACTCCCACTCTGTCTGTATCAGGTTTCCTTCCTTCAAATGAAC